TATGTAGACCAGGCTGGCCTGGAACTCAGGAGCTCCACCTGCCTCTGCTTCCTGAGTGCTGGGATTAAAGGCGTGGGCCACCACCATTGGCTCCATGATTTAGTTTTGAGAGAGTCTCATGTGATCCAGGCCCTCAGACTCACTTTGTAGTGCTGGGATTATAGGCATGCACCACCACAACCAACGAATACTGTTTCTCAGTTGAGTCCCAGCAGTCAAATGGGGGTGTATCCCTTAAGCACTGCAGATGCCAACTTCTGAAAACTCTAAACTCTGGCTGTACTGGGCCACTGTCTGTTGTGACAACAGCCAGCTGAGGAGTGGCGTCTCTTGCCCATGGCCTGAGTGGCTATGGTAGCAGCATCTGGTTGGTGACTGAGTACAGAATCCCAGATGCTCTGAAGACAGCCTGGGACTGGAAGGCCAGTGGCCTAAAGGCTGAATGGTTGGACTCTGGGGCCTGGGACTAGGGGTCAAGATTGAGCCTTGCTTTTTTATACTTGTGACCACAAACCACAACCATCAACCAGTCTATAACTAGAGTGGGGAATCGGTCTGTGCCAAAAGAGTCACCAGAAGGGACTTCCCCAGACTGGCATGGTGCTGCCCACTCCCAGATATGTAATGCAGGCCTCAGTTTCCACATCTGTAAAATAGGGTGTTGCAGCCATGACTCAGGGTGCATTCTGGGGTGGCGTCTTGGAATTGTGTGGAGCATTGTGTGTACACCTGTGCAGAGCCTGAACCGGGAGCTTGACAATCATGTGACTGTCATCTGAAGCGGGAGGTGGGTGTGGGGTGTCTTGCCTTGTGCCTCAGCCATCACTCACCCATGAACCAGAACCACGTGCAGTGTCTCCGATGGCTCATCCGTAAACCTTCCTACAACCCCTGGTTTCCACACAGCCCCTTGCGGGAGGACTGGCTGACTCATCCCCACCATGGATAGGAGAACTTGCCTGAATCCCAAAGGCCGGCTCCCAGGCGGCACAGGTTGGGGGTGGGGAAGCAGTAACCAGAGCTGCCCCACAAAGGGTGACCTTGAAGGCTGGCCCAGGCCTCTCTGAGTCAGGGAGCCAGACTGCCTGGTTTCCATGCCAACCCCACTTCTGAGAACTTGGTGTCCATGAGGGAATGCCAGAAACTCCCTACGCTGTGAAGTGGAGTGGCTATACATTTCCTTACTGGGGACTGACCATTCTGGTCCCAGGTCACTACTCTTGGCAAGGTTGAGAGATTGATAGGACAAGGTGATGTACTCTTGTTATCCTAGCTACTCAAGAAGTAGAGGCAGGGGGATTACCTAGTGTAGCCATTCGAGAACAACCTTGACAACAGAGCAACACTTTCTTGAAAATTCAAAACAAAACAAAAACCTAGTCAAAAATCCACATTCTGAGCCAAGCAGTGGTGGCGCACACCTTTAATCCAGCACTCAGGAGGCAGAGGCAGGCAGATCTCTGTGAGTTCGAGGCAGCCTGGTCTACAGGGCGAGTGCCGGGAGGGCTCCAAAGCTACACAGAGAAGAAAATCCACATTCTGGGGCCCGTACAAGAAACCCAGAATGTCATTTGAGACCCTAAACAAGCCAGTGCCCTGTCAGCTCTGGGGACTCAGGTTCCTTCATGGACCACCAGCTTTGGTGTTGCCATTCTGTCAGCTGTCCCTTGCCCTGAAGTAGAAATTTGAAGGAAAACACCAAAGTATAGAATTCTGAGCTGGAGGAGGGAGGGCAGAGGGATTGGGATGGACTGGGAAAACCTGGAGGAAGGAGGTTTGGATGGGTACAAGCTGAATGGGGGGGTGTCCATCTAGCTAGTATTTATTTAGTGACTACTGCATGCTCCACGCCTTGGTAGAGAAACCAGGAGGGAAGGGCATAAAGGTGTGGGGTCCAGGAATCCTGCATGGAGAAGAGGACACCGTGACAAATGAACTGTGACAAGAGATGGACGGGGTTCCAAGGGAGGTGGCTGTAGAGGGTGTGGTGGGGCTAAGAACCCACCAGAAAGAGGCCAGAGGAGCCTGCAGTGTGGTGAAGGGGAGCATGGGAGGGAGACAGAGACCTAACTGAGAAGCTCATGGGGCATGATGGGAAGCATGCTTCTCTTAGGGTACTGGGAGCCACAGCAGGCCTGAGGCAGGGGTGTTGCATTTGGATTTGCACTTTTAGGTAGGTGGTCCACCTGCCTGCCCTGACTCACCCCTCTCCCTTCTCCTCGTTTAGTAAGGGACCCAAATGAATGGCTGTCTCACCTTCCCCATTCCCACCCTGGCAGAATCCATCTTTTGTTTGTTTGTTTGTTTTGGGACAGGGTTTCTCTGTGTAGCCCTGGCTTTCCTGGAACTCACTCTGTAGATCAGGCTGACCTCAAACTCACAGAGATCCACCTGCCTCTACGTCCCGTCTCGAGTGCTGGGATCAAAGGTGTGCACCACCTTCCGGCTGGGTCTGTCTTTCTACAGCTCAGCTCTCTACAGCCTTGGTAGTGTTAGTTGCTATAGAAACCAGGCCTTCACAGCACCCAGATGCTGAAACCACCCCAAGACCCAAAAGCCACAGGACTGGGCTAACCCACTGGGGAGCCAGCCTTACAGCCAGGCAGCCAGTTGGGGTTCCATTTCCTTGTCTGTGGAATGCCTGTGGCTGGAGAACCCACTGGCTACCGGTCCTGCAGGAAGCTGCTCACCCTCAGCGGCGCCCAGTCCTCAGCCTCAGCCCAGTGGGGCTGCCCCTCTTCATCACCCTAAATCTGAACATCACAGCCATCTTCATCCGTTGAGGTCACAGGCCCACAAGTACGCCCACCATCCCGATGGGTCTCAGGTTCGCTTGCATGTGGCTGTGGTAAATACTGCAGCAATGAGCAAACATGCACACCGAGACCCTCTCAGTCCCTGCATGTCATCGAGGTTCTGGTCTTTTTTTTTTTTTCCTGTAAATTGGGTGTTCTGCCTCCCTCCAAGTATGTCTATATGAGGGCATCAGATCCCCTGAAACAGGAGTTACAGACAGTTGTGAGCTGTCATGTGGGTGCTGGGAATTGAACTCTGCACCTCTGGAGAGTTCTCTCCAGCTCCCCACGGTTCTGTCTTGTTTTATCTGAAGAACTATCCATGCACTGGGGTCCATCCCTTCACATTCCCATTATCAACCTTGGTCACTTTCTTCATAGCAGCTCTCTGATGGACACTGGTGACCCCACTCACATCTCATTGGCCAAAACTGGGTCAAGGGGCCATTCTTTGGCAGTCAAATGACAGCAGTGTGGCTGATCCAGGTGGATTAATCACTTGGGGTGGGTGGATGCTGCATAACCGTAACCTCTAGCCTGAGTGGCCCTCCATCCCTAGCGGCTCCTCAGAATACTTCTGACCACACAGTGCCTCTAGGTCTGTGCCCTGCACGTACATCACCCTAACACTAGCAGGACAGATGGGCACATCAGCATTGATTAACTGCCCCCAAGGCCACCTGCCACTCCAAGGAATATTCTGGTAAGGGCATACCTGTGACCCCGCCTCTTGAGGCAGCCTCCCTCCCTTGCACATGGTCCCCTGACCTTGATGCTTATTTTTGGGAGAGGGGTTTCAAGACAGGGTTTCTCTGTGTAGCCCTGGCTGTCCTGGAACTAGCTTTATTCTCAAACTCAGAGATCCACCTGCCTCTGCCTCTCAAGTGCCAGGATTAAAGGCGTGTGCCACCACCGCCTGGTGACCTTGATGCTCTATTTTGTGAACTTAAACTTGAGTTATGTGGGTTGCTCAGTTCATGCTGAAGCCAAATGTTCCTGAAGTTACTTAATTTTTTTAGGCTGCTGAGGGAGAGCTGTGGCAGGCACATCCTGAGTCTACATCTGGTTAAGACCCTGGGCCTTAACCGCCATGTTGGGCCACCCTGGGCCTGCCTCTTCTCCTTTGTAAAGCCACCATGAGCTCAGTTAAGTGGAGACCCAGCACTAACAGCAGTTACTGTCTTAGGGGCAGGTACACATAACATTGTAGACAGTGTTACAGTCAAAAACCATCTTTCAGGGCTGGCTCAGTGGTTAAGAGCATTGGCACTTCCGGAGGACAGGAGTTCAATTCCCAGCACCCACATGGCAGTTCACAACTGTCTGTAACTCTAGTTCCAGGGGATCTGACACTTTCACCTCAATGCATATAAAATAAAGTGAAATAAATTATATATATATAATCTTCCACTGGGTAATTATGGTGCACACCTTTAATCCCAGCACTCAGGAGGCAGAGGCAGGTGGATTTCTGAGTTCAAGGCCAGCTTGGACTACAGAGCAAGTTCCAAGACAGCCAAACTGTGTTTCCAAAAAGTCAAAACAAAAACCCCCCAAAAGAAAAAGCACAGCAGATATTACTAATCAACTACAGAGACTCTTTTTCTCGTTTTTCATAGTGCCAGGATCTTTTGTAGTCCACTCACTCTTGAGCTACCAGGAAAAGGCCTAAGAAGGGCCAGGGTCTGTTCAGACAGGGTCTCACTATGTAGCCCAGGCTGGCTTGCAGCTAGCGTGCGTCCTGCCTCGCCCTTGAATGCTGGGACAGGTGTGCACTATCATCAGGCTTAGACCCTCCCCTCTCCTCACCATCAGGTAGTTTGGGCCCACACACATGTCAATCACCTGCCCATCTTTTTGTATGGCCTGTGGCCCTCCATGTACCTCCTGAAGGCACCACCAGCCACAGGGTCAGAGGTTGATACTTCAGTTGACACTCGAGCTGTGTGGCCTTGGCAACCTCTCTGGGCCTCCATTTCCCCCCTCACAAGATGAGGTCATTGTCGTCCCTGGGAGATGATAGGGCAGCCTGGCTGAAGGACACTTCATGTTCCTTCTAGGGCCCACCAGGCATATCAACTGGGATTCTGTGGGGAGGAAAATAATACAAGCAGCCATTCCTTGACCAGCTTTTTTTTTTTTTTTTTTTTTTTTTTTTTTTTTTTTTTTTTTTTTTTGGTTTTTCGAGACAGGGTTTCTCTGTGGTTTTGGAGCCTGTCCTGGAACTAGCTCTTGTAGACCAGGCTGGTCTCGAACTCACAGAGATCCGCCTGCCTCTGCCTCCCGAGTGCTGGGATTAAAGGCGTGCGCCACCACCGCCCGGCTGCTTGATCAGCTTTTATTTTGGCCCTCGTTTCCTGTCCATGGCAGACATCTTTTAGCCCTAGAGTCAGCTGGACCATCTTTGTGCTTTGGGAAAAAAGGGCATCTCTCCACTCCCTACTTCCTGCGCTGTACCTTTAGAGTTTGTAAACCCATCCCAGACTAGAGTCTATGCCTTAGCCCGCCAGCTGGGTCACACCAGGGAGACCTGAGCCCCACCCAGTGGGAGAGTTACAAAGATAGGGACCAAGTCCCCAGAGGCACCTGTGCAGACAGCAGAGCTCAGTGACAGCTAGGTGTCAGTGTGTCTCCTGGTAGGGTTGGACTCCCTGGGGACAATGCCACCCCTTCCCTCCAGTCAACAGTAATGGGAGGGGGGGGGTGCAGATACTAAACTTCCCTGCTGGAAGAAAGACAAATGCAATACCTTATAAACTTCAAAGTGAAACTCACAGCCAAGCCCTGGCGCCTGAACCAGCAGGCAGCCAAGAGGCTCTGGTGGCAGAATCACCTACAGAACCCCAACCCAGGGCCTCCAGGGACAGACGAGTGGGGCCAGGGTGAAATCTGTCCATCTGCCGCAGAGACTGGAGTGAGTGTCCTCCAGTCCCCAGGGCAGGGCACTGAGGAGGACTGTAAACAAGACCCAGGTGGGGCAGGTTGTCCCGCCCAACACTCTGGAAGAGAGCCAGCACTGAGAAGGGACCCAGCAGGGAGGCCCACTGGTTGTCTGGAATCAGGCAGTGGTGAACCTGGGAGGAAGCTAGGCCACAGCCCAGGACTGGAGGTTACTTAGCTCTAAGAGGCCCTGCCTGCCAAGGCCGGGCAAAGTCCTGCCTTAGCTGGTTCCAGGCCAGGACCTTGGGGATTTATCCAGTTTAACTCCACCTTCTACCTGCTGCTTCAGACCCAAATGAGCAGCCCAGGCAGCAGCCTCTGGGCCCAGGCTTCCTGACCCTCGTGAGGACCAGTACTAGGTGGACCTTGGGCCCCATGGGCCTGTGGCCTACTCCAGGGCTGTCCTGGGGCAGGGCTCTCTAGCAACCAATTCCTTGAGTTCTTGTAGAATGTTCAGGTCCCAGGTTCTTCTTGGCAGTAACTGCCACTGAGCCCAGAGGTCAGGTCTTCTGGGTCACATGTCCTTTGTCCCCTGGAAGCCTGGCTTTACTCAGGCTTCCCTCACAGCCAGTAGGCCCCTTAAGGCTGGTCCTGGGTATGAGTCCCACCAGACTGAGAAGGATGCCAGGAGACCTCCAGGCCAGCTAGGCCAGTGTGGCCTCCACGCCACTGGCTCCTGAGGGCCCGCACCTCCAGTCCATACTGCTCATGTAGCTGGGCGAATGATACCAAGGGCCCATTGGAAGCAGAGGCCCTGCGACGGGGCGGTAGCGGTGGGCGCTGGGGGGCTGCAGTGGGTTGCTCAGGCAGCGCACTCCATACTGCCCGGCCATTCTCCTTGGGTCGCGGGTTCGAGACTGGGCTTGGGCTGGCCGGCAAGGCATTGGCAGGGCTTCCCTCCCGCATGGCTGCCAGCTGCTGCTCCAACTCACGCACCACCAAGCGCAGGTAGTGGAAGCTGGCTCGTGACAGCGCCTTCACCCAGCCCTCCAGGGCCGCCTGGCTATCAGCTGCCAGCACGTAGGGCCGAGAGCGACCGCCGGCAAAGTGCAAGGCGAAGGCAAACTCCTCCCGGACATCCACCAGCTCCACCGTGCACCCCTCCAGCAGGATGACCCCCAGCGGCTCGCGGCTGGCCTCTGCCTCGAAGTAGAAGAGCATGTTGCCACGAAGCACGAACCAGCGCCGGTGCGAGCCTGCCCCGCGTCCACCACGCTTGTGGAGGAAGCCAGCATTGTCCACTGGAGCATCGCAGGTTGCGTAGAAGGCCAGGCTGCGCTCGTTCAGCTTCATGGCCGCAAGGCCTGCGCTTGTCCCCTGCACCAGAGCTGATGTTACTCCTAAAATCATCAACTCCCAGGCCACCAGCGGCCACCTTCCACCACACCCACACCAGCCCCCCAGTGAGCACAGGGAGACAAGACTCGAACCCAAGTCTCACGTGGCCACTCGGAGCCCTCCTGCTGCCCCTAATTCAGGAAAGAACATTAAGCATTCTGAGCTCTCTCGACACCACGCAAGTTAGCTCCAGCAGGCAATGACCTTGGGTGGCCCAGGCTAGTGACCAAGCTTCAATTGGGGAAACAGAGGCACACTGAGGAAACAACCACACAGCCAAGGTCACAAAACAAGTTAGTTAGAGCCTTTGTTGGCCCCAGGAGGTCCCAGCTCTGTGACTCAGCCTGGTGAGAGGTGAGCCATAGAGCGTGGCAGGTAGGGGAAGAGTGAACACAAAGGCCCTGTGCTGAAACCCTACTGCTACGATGAATGGGGACCAGAGGGGGTGGAGGAAAACTCACCCAGCGTGCTGAAGCACCTGTCAGCAAATACTCTAGGTAAAACAGGAGCCCGGCCCAGACTGACAGGGAGGGGCAGGGCACTCTAACATAGGGGGGCAGCAGTGGGCAGGAGGACCTAGTGGGTGGTGGCACACGGGTGCCCAGTGTGACATCTTGGAGGAGGTCCTGCGCCCTGCTGCCCCTGTCACGGCCATACTTTTCAAGAGTATATGAAGAGCCTGGAATGAGTAAGCACTCAGCCAATGTCCACTCCTTCTGCCTGAGTGGCAGGCGCTGCCCAAAGTCAGGAGGAATGAGGCCTGGGTGGTGGCTCTGTGGGGCCAGGCTGTGCCACCAGATAGGTGGAGGGAGAAGCGGCTGCCAAACAAATACTTCTTTTCCTGCCACCTCCTGCCACCCACACTGCAGTCAGGGACAGCTTCCTGCCGAGCTAGAGGCTGAGACCTGCTTATCCCCATGGAGCAATGGGGCTGGGACCTCAGCCCCTGAAGGCTCTGGTGTGTTTAATCCTCACTCTGCCTCCTTGTGCTGTGTGGCTTCTTATATTTGCTGTCCCTCTCTACGCCTGTTTCTGCGTAAGTGACTCATGCATCCCTCCCAAAACATCCGTCGTGCCCACCCGACCCTGCTCACTCAGTTACAAGTCAGCTCAGTCTCCAGGCTGGGTCACCTCGGTGCGCACAGTCAGCCTCTCTGGACCTCTAGTTCTTCATCTATGAAATGAGAGCAAAAGTGTCTAAGTCAAGTTTATGGCAATGAGATCGGGACCCGGGGAACCAGGCCCTCTGCTGTGGCAGCTGTTAACAGTGTATTTCGCCCCCCTCTAGTCTGTCCTGTCTCAGTGAATGCCCCCTGGTGTACCCCTCCCCTCTACATCTAATCACTGAGGCCAGGTGATCTTCCCATGCCCGCCTCAGTCTTCCAAAGCAATGGTTTTCTAGGTCCCCGTCTCTGTTTGCTGGAATCACTGCAGTAGCCTCTACAAGCTGTCGCCTGCCTCCACCTTTGCCCCTTCCTATCTTGCCACTCAAGGTAAGATCACCTCTCCTAGAGCACCCACAATGGTGCCCTTATCTCCCATAACTTCTGCCCACTTCTCAGCTCCCCCAATCTCAGCTCCTTTCCCAATCTCTTCCTGCCTTTGTCCCCAGACCTCGGCCACTTTGACCGCCTTTCTGTCCCCCAAATGCACCAGACACTTTCCTACATAAGGACCCTTGCCCTGATTGTTACTCTCTGCCTGGGCTGCCGTTCCCTACCACATGGTGGACTTCACCACTGCCTGGGAGGCATCCTCAGACCATAAGACACCACCAGGCACTCTACTGCACCCCAGCTGAAGATTACCTGGTTCATTCATGCCTGCTCCAGGAAGGGAGGGTTTTTCTGTCTGAACGTGAGAACCCAGTGTGTAGCAGGTACTTCTGGGAGTCTACAGGGCAAAACAAACCTTTGTCAAGATGAGGGCGCTGTGACAAGGAGTGGTCGCCATTCCACATTCATGGATGGGAAAATTGACCTGCCCCAAGAACAGGGCTCAGAGCAAACAGCCCAAGTGGGGCACTAACCTAGGGGTCATTCTACCCCACTAAGACTGACAATAACTTGCCCAGTGCCCATCACCTACCCACTCTGACTGTGCAGATGGGGCCACCCTAGCCCTAACAGAAAGCCCAGCCAAGTCCCTGACCCTTGCCTGCTCCAGCTGAGCAAAGAAAAAGAGGCTGAGACACTGGTTTTAGCTTCCCCTGGAGGGAGCACCTGCTCCCCGTTTTCTAACCACCCTGCGCTCCCTCCAGTTCAGTCTGCTGAGGGCACCACACTACTGAATCAACAGGGCATGATGCTCTAGTAACCAGATAACTGTCCAAGTTGGTCTAGGGTGAAAGACTAGTCACAGCCACTTCCCAGACCTCAGTTTCTTCAACGGGCTTCAAGGAGGCTCAGAAGATAAAAATAAGGACACCCTGTGACAAACTACAAGGGAAACATTCTGAAGCAGACAGAGCACCAGCTGTGGTAGCTCACACCTGTCATTCCAGCACATGGGAGGTAGAGGCCAGCCTCAGCTACAGAGCAAGACCCTGTTTAAAAACAAAATTAAAACGGCACATGTCGGGTATGGTGGTGTACACCTTTGATCCCAGCCCTTTGGGAGGCAGAGGAGGCGGATCTCTTGAGTTAGAGGCTAGCCTGGTCTACATATAGAGTTCCTGGCCAGCCACAGCTACACAGTCTCAAGACCCTGTCTCAAAAACAACACACCAGTCCAGTGGATAAAGGTGCTGGTAGCCAAGCCTACTGACGGGAATCCGATGACCAAAAACCACATGGTAGAAGCAAAGAACCGACTCCTGCAAGTTGTCCTCTGACCTCCACACGCACGCACGTAAACAAAAATAAATATTAGAAATCATAAGACAAGTGATGAGTCCCCTATCCGTGAAGTTATAGCTGGCTCCAGAGCTAGGACTCGAGAAAAACTGAGGCAAGCACTACCGCAGAACCGCAAGCCCGGGCGGTGCGCGGCCGGACCGCGATGGAGGCCGCGGGCGGGTCCCGTGCAACGGCCGTGCAGATCCTGTTCCCGTCGCCGTCCCCGCCCACCGGGTCTCACCTGGCTGAGGGACTGGCGCGACCGTCTGTCCGTCCCATGGCCCGGAACCGCTTGGGGAGCGGCGGCGAAAGAGCGCTTTGTCTCGCCTCGGCAGAGCTCCGGAGATCTGCGGGCGCCCCTTTAACCCTGAGCGGGCCGCCCTGGAGGGGCCCGCCCTGAGCCCTACATGCCCGCCCATTGGCCAGCCCCCACAGGCCCCGCCTCCAGGATCGCCACGCCCCCACTCGCGAGCATGGAAACCACTCTTAAAGGGACCGTGCTGAAGTCACTTGGCGTCTCCAGGGTTCTGTCCTAGAAAAACGGAGGCTCTGAGCCAAGGAAAAAAACTAGTGCAGCTTCAGAAGTTAAAGACGCAAAGCTTGCGGCACGGCTCAGCGGGTAAAGGCGCTTGCTGCTAGCCTGAGGACCTGAGCTCAATCTCTGAGACCTATAATACGGAAGGCTCCAGAGCACTGACTCCCACTAGGGCACGGTGGCACGAGTGTGTTCACACACAAACACACACAGAGAGAAATGTTAGAGATGGGTGTGCTAATGCAGACCTCTAATCCCACCGCAGTGCAGGCAGGGGCAGGTGGATCTCTGTGAGTTCAAGGCCGGTCTGCTCTACGCGTTCAGATCTAGACTAGCCTGGACTCCAAAAAGGAGAATCTGTCTTTAAAAAAATTAACCCATGGCGTTTCCAGACAAAATCAACAGGTCTGTTGTAAATGTGCAGGACGCATTTACATTTGCCCAAGTCAACATTTGCCCAAGTGAAAAGGAAAGTTCTAGAAGTTAACAAAGCCGAAGGTCCGCGGAACCGCGACACCTTTGTGTGCTCTCTCAACAGAAGCTCAGCGTCGCTGGGTTTCCACATTTTGTCCGTAAAATATAAAGACAAGCGAATTATTTACAGGGTGTGATTCAGCTGCAGGCATTCTCAGTAAATAGGAATTGCTGGAGTTTTACTTTTTCCCCTCCTCTTCCCAAAATAACCCGGTTCCACCTCCCAGAATCCTTTACCTCCTGTGCTTTCAGCCTCCTCACTTCCTTCTACCTTCCTACCCCGGGTCCTCCCAGCCTGAGGACAAGAGAAAAACAGGACAGACCAGGATCCCTGTTCATTCCAGATCTACTTGCCAGCGCCTACTATGTGCAGCCTGGTCCAGAGAGAAGTAGCCAGAAGTCAATCAACAAACAATGCTAAATGTGTCGTGTGAGGAAGAGAATAGGCAAGAGCAGGAGGACAGCCTTAAGACAAGTCTCAGACACAGGCTTGAGGAGCAGCAACCTAGCAGGATGTGTGAGAACCTTGGGAGACCTGCAGGAAGGGGTCCCCCGAGCAGCAAGTCCAACAGGCCCAGTGTGCAAGTGGAGGAAAAAGAAGTTAGGGCCGCATTGCAGAGAACACCGTGAAACTGGAGGAAAAGGTTGTTTTCAGGCATGCGTGGTAGCACACACCTGTAATTCCAGCAGTTGGAAGAAAGAAGCAGGAGGATGGCTGCAAAGCCATAACTACATAGCATGATCCTGTCTTAAAAATATTTTTTTAATTAGTGTAGTAGATCAGGTTGGCCTTGAACTCGCAGAGAGCATCTTGTCTTCCCAACTTTAGGGGAGGATTAATGACGGGCACTATGATGCCTGGCCTGTGGGGGATTTTGAGCTGAGATGCGGTCTTCGGGGACTGGAGGACAAGCATGAGCCTGGGGCAGGGATCTGAGTAAATGCTGATGGCACCTTGGAGGGCAGTGGGCAAATTTCGTGCCTGGTTTTAAGATATACACAGTTTCCTGATGGCTTTCTATGTGGAGAATGAGAGACTCAGAAAAGGGGTTGAGGGCTGGAGAGATGGCTCGGCCGTTAAGAGCATGGCCTGCTTTTCCGAAGGTCCTGAGTTCAATTCCCAGCAACCACATGGTGGCTCACAACTATCTCTAATGAGGTCTGGTGCCCTCTTCTGGCCTGCAGGCAGACACACAGACAGAATATTGTGTATATAATAGATAGATAGATAGATAGATAGATAGATAGATAAGATAGATAGATAGATAGATAGATAGATAGATAGATAGGAAGGAAGGAAAGGGGTTGAAATGGGCCTGAGAAATGGACAAAACGGGAGAGTCTGGCCATCTAGAGAAGCTGTCACCAAACTGACATGGAGCCAGCAGGGATCCATGTTGAAAAATAAAGGCCAGCCTACCTCACACCACAGACCGAGACTGATGCCAACAGACCTCAGTATGAGAGAGGCCCGGAAAACCTCTAGGGGCCTGAGGTGGAGAGCACTGGCGTGAGGCCCTATTGAGATCTCCAGGTTGGAGGGAAGTCGCAGCCTCACTGAGGGAGGAAGGGAAGAAGGGAAGTCCTGGATTAATCAATCACTAGTCGGATGTTGATCGGTCATCAATTAGTTCTCAGTGGTCAGCAGGTCCTCAGTCCAGTCACGTCTGTCCTCAGAAGTCCTCAGTCTCAGTCACTCACGTCAGGCCCCACCCAGCCAGTTGTCAGTCTAGCGACCAGTTGTCAGCGTTCTGAAGTCAGTCATCAGTCGGTGGTCAATCGGTCCCCTGTCCATCATCGGTCAGTCTGCCCCAGTCAGTCTAAGCTGCCTGAGGCTCCAGGTTCAGTTCCCAGCACCACCAGATAAAGGAGACTTAGTCCCCATTCCTCAGCCCTAGCAAACCTCAGTTTCCCCTGTGTGGATTCCCCATGTGGATTTGCAGGGCCCATGGCATTCATTTCTCTCCATGCATTTCACTCTCGGGGGCTCCAGAACAGTTCATGCTGCAGCTGATGGCATCTCCATCCTTTTCGTGACTGAGTAATGTCTCTTTGTTGCTTGTCTGCCCATCCATGGAGAGGCCTTCAGCTGTCTCCACCCATGAGTAGCCAATATGTGAGTGGCCGAGGACTGAAGATGGGTGGAAAGGATTATGAATCAGAAACCTCAGAAAGAGGAATTTGGGAACCTACGCTGGGCTGTGGCCACAGATAAGGTTTTGCCTCCAAACCGCGTCTCCAGGGCAGCACACCCCATCTCTGCAGCCACTTCCCTGTCTCAGTGCCCTTTCCTCCTCAGCGCAGCAGGTCTTTCACCTCTCCTCCTCCTCTTTGGAGCCCCTTGGGCTCTCCGCTCCATGTTCCTCTGAGCAGCCTCAGGGCTCCTTTTGAAGCTTGCCTCAGAACAAATCCTGCCATTGTCTCAGTCAAAGGCATGCCATGGCTTCTCATCACCTCAGAAACAAATCCAGAGTGCTCCTTGCCAGCCAGGAAGCCTTCCTTGCACTGACCCTGGCCACTCCTCCAACCTCCTCCCCACCCCCTCAGGTTCCTTTTCTCCCTTCTCCCACCATCACTACCTGCCCTCCCTGTGTTCTAGGACACACTGTGCCCCAGACCTCTTCCTGTCTACTTTTCCAGAAGACTCCCCACATCCTCCAAGACGCGGCTACCCCATCTGATTCCCGAGGCTTCACTGAGCCACTTCCTCTTCAAGGGGCAGACAAACCCCAGCCCTTTGTACTGAGTCCAGTACCTTCTTTCCGTTCAGTCATTCACACAGCCTTTAACACTTAGAGAGCTTCTGTCCCAGGTTCTCAGAAAAGAAGTTTTAAAAAGTGCCATGATAAGGTGGTCATACCTTTAATCCCAGCACTTGGGAGGCAGAGGCAGGCAGATCTCTGTGAGTTTGAGGCCAGCCTGGTCTACAGAATGAATCCCAGGACATCTAGGGCTACACAGAGAAATCCTGTTTTTTTTAAAACAAACAAACAAAAAACCCAGAAGCTTGAGACAGCGAACTCCACAGAAGCAGGTACAAGGGAGCAACCGCTGAGGGAGTAGGCTGAAACCAGAGACCTCTGTGGGTCAAGGCGTGAGTCTGGGATCTCTGAGGGAGTGGGCCTGAGCCAGGACCTCTGCCAGAGCAGCCCCAAGGCAGCAACCTCGCAGAAAGAGCCCCAAGCAAGCAATCTCTGTGGGAGCAGGCCCGAGGGACCCCTGATATTGCAGAGGGAACTCCAGGAGTACCTAACGACCTCTAGGAACACTGAGTGACTAACGGCATTACTGGAACCATGGTCGTGACTGCACCACGAGGAACAACCATCTGAGCCTTGGATCCACTGGCACCTGGAAAATTGATCACGAGAGTCATAGACAGCCCCAACTACACCATACAGAGGAAAAGGTGGGTAAACAAGCTAAGAACACATGCAACACCACAAAGAGCAACAAGACACCAGTAAAAACTGATCTCCAAAATATACATAGAACTCAAAATTTTGGTCATCAAAAGAACAAATAATCCAATAAAAAAAAATGGGGCACAGACCTAAACAGAGAACTCTCAACAGAGGAATCTAAAATGGCTAAAAGACACTTAAGGAAATGTTCAACATCCTTAGTCATCAGAGAAATGCAAATCAAAACAACTCTGAGATTCCATCTTACACCTGTAAGAATGGCCAAAATCAAAACCACTGATGACTGGAGAGGATGTGGGGAAAAGGGAACACTCTTCCATTGCTGGTGGGAGGGCAAACTGGTACAGTTCCTCTGAATATCAATATGGCGATTTCTCAGAAAATTGGGAAACAACCTTCCTCAAGACCCAGCAATACCACTTTTGGGTATATATCCAAAGGATGTTCAATCGTGCCACAATGACATGTGCTCAACTATGTTCACAGCAGCTTTGTCTGTCATAGCCAGAACCTGGTAACAACCTAAATGCCCCTTGTCTGAAGAATGGATAAGGAAAATGTGGTACATTTACACGATGGAGTACTACACAGCAAAAAAATAATGACGTCTTGAACTTTGCAGGCAAATGGATGGATCTAGAA